TCTCCATGATCTGCAACATGATGCAGTGTATTTTAAGTAATGCCTGGCAGGGAGTAAGGCACAGACATGTTGAACTACTTCGTTATTTAAGAAAATGGAGGCCTGAACCTGCACTGCCTCAGTCTGTGGGTTTGGATGACAAACTCCACTACTTCCTGGCAGACTGAGAAAGTCACAGCCCTGCCCTGTGACTCAGCAGGCATGTAACGGACCCAGAGAGAGACCCAAGAGCCTTGCCAGTAGCCGCACACGAGGCAAATCAGTGAAGAGGTTTTTTCCACACTGTAATATCCAGAGATGCACACTAAGTGGCCATGTGCTACTCTCCATAACTGCTGCCCTGAGATAACCAGCACTTAATCAAAGCCATTGGGAGGCCTAAGGTACACAGATTTCACAGAATGCTTTGGGCTGGAAGGGACCTTTCAAACACCATCCAGTTCCAGCCACTCTACCACGGGCAGGGACACCTCTCCACTACACCAGATGGCTTCAAACCCCATCCAACCTGCTCGGAACACTTCCAGGGATAGAGAATCCATCTGAGTGCTGACATCAAACGTTAAAATATTTGAGATGTGAAGCTGAAGGACATCCACTGCAACTAAAGAGGGGAAAGTCCAAATCACGACACACAATCCGAAAGCAACTGTTAATGATTAAGATATGAGAATTAAACACTGCTTTTGAGAAGCTCTGACCCACCATATACCCGAGAAGGTTTTAACCCCTCTGCCCACGCTGACAGGACTTAGGCGGGGTTAGGCCTCCCCCACGCGATGCGGCTGCAGTGCCGTGTTGCTGGAAGTACACGCAGCGGCCCGCGCTCCCTCACAGACCGCCCAGGCCCGGCCGGGTTCACAGGCAGAGCCCGCGCGGACCCATCTCAATGCGGCGGTAGCGGCTCCGGAGCCCGACGAGGGGCAACTGCGGCCGCCCAGGACCCCGCGGTTAACTGCGGAAGGACCGGGCCGCGGAGGCCCGCACAGCCACGAGGCCGCAAGGCCCTGCCCCGGCCGGCATCACTCACCTTCGGCCCAGCAGCCCCACTACAGCAGCACCGACCGCTCCGCGCCTCACCTCACACTGGGACCGAGCGGCTGCGCGGACGCCAGGCTATACCCACCCCGCGCACATCTCCCGCCCCTCCTCCAGCCCTCCATTGGTCGGCTCTGCCCCTCGCCGCTCTTCCATTGGCCAGCCCGGCCTCTCTCCGCTCTTCTATTGGCTACCTCCTCCTCGCGCCAGAGGCGGGCTCGGGTGCGTGCGCTACGTGCCGCGGCGGCCCGCTCGGTTCCGCCGTTCGCCTCGTGGAAAATCCCAATACGGAGGGGGCGGGGCCTCCCCCCCACCACGGCGCAAGCGCGCTGGGCTGCAGATGGCGGGCGTGATGAGGGCTCCGCTGTGAGGGGTTCGGCCTCGTCTATGGCAGGGCCGTGAACCGGCGACAAACCCGGTCCCCGGCGGCATCCACCGGGTGCTGGATGCTGCCTGCACGTACAGTGAGCCGTGTCCTCTGTGCGGGGGACATCGGGGGGGGACATTGTGCGGGGGGACATTGGGCACATGGGGACATTGACTGGGTGACAGCCCCCCCCCCCACATGCACTTATGAGGGGAGGGGGGGCTGTAACGTATTTATTGTCATTAAACTGGAAGCTGCGTTGCTGGAATGCCAGGTACAGCCAGGCTTCTGTGTGAGGTGAGTGTAGGAACAGTGGCCAAAAAGAGTAAGAAGGGGGCGTGCTGACAGGAGGAAGGCTTGTTAGTACTAGAAAAGGTTAATTAAGAACACAGTAAAGGTTTACTCTGGTTTTTAAGTGTATAACTCTTAACTGGCTGCCCCATCCTTGGTAGGGTTGGACACAGGGGCTTGAAGCAAGTGTGCCCCAAGACATGCTCAAAGGCCGTGTTGTGACCAAGAGCCAGTGGAGCAGAACAGAGCTCAACACCAGGCCACAGAATGAAAGACTTTGCCAAAATGAAGTGACTCATGCCCCAGTGTTGAAAAAAACCCGTCGGACTATTCATTGATAATTATTTAGTCTGCTGCATAATGGTGAAGTATGAACCATGCACCACTGAATGAACCGGGCGCAGTGGGCAAAGCCTCCATCTCTGGAAAGTAATACTCAACTCTCTATGGACTCAGTGGTAACCACGTGTGATGGTGTTTAATAAGAACATGAGTGGTTCCCTGCTGTGGCGGTGCAGAGGGATCCTCTTACTGCTTATTTATCCGTTTGCCCCCAGTAGCTGCCCCCTGTGACCAGCTTGGCGAGCACTGCACCACCTCCCATAAGCATGATTTCTTCCAGGACTTCTTAACCAGGGGATGGTCTGACATTGCATTGTGGAAGGGAGGCTGCAGTGAGAGGAATCCCATTGACAGGTCCCAAGATTTGAACAAGGCCATAGGCTGACTTGGGACAGGCATGGTCTTGTTCCTTTTCACCTTCCCATGTCCTCAGCCTTCATTCTTGGATGTGATTGCTGCTGTTGAAGGCAGAGCACCATTCCCAGCAGTGATACTGTTAGCAAGAACGAAAACCATGGGTGTTATCAGCACTGTTCCCAGACTAAAGTCAAAAACACAGCACTGCAGCAGCTACTGAGAAAAATCCCTACTACTGCTGAATGCAGGACAGAAGCCATGACCAGGGACCAGTGCTTTGCCTTGCTGGGACACTGCAGCACCCAGACCCATGCATGTCATCCCATGGGGACTCCCAATTCCCCTGGGTTTGCTTCCTTCCATTCCACTGACACTGATGGGGGCCTGACTCTGTGGTATTTAAAGTACATAACATCAAACCATGGAGTTCCCCAAGCCTGGAGTTGGGGTCCAGGGGCTCCAGGGATCTGTCAGGGCCCCCTTTTCCACTGCACTGTGCAAAACCATGTTGTTGCTTGCAAAGTCAGTAATACTTGTGCTTGCTCATGAACGGCCTCACCCTTCCAGCCTATGACTGATTGTTTCTTCCGGGCACATTTTTCTTCCCTTCATGAGAACATCCCCCCAGGGCAAGCTTTAAGCCTTAATAAAAAGCAAAGGAAATCAGTTGAACTGACTCCTTCCCTTAAGCATGCCATGTGGACACAACACCCCGCCAGGCCCCCCTCCGTGGATCCTAGCAAGGAGACACCATGTGAAACCCAAGCTGCTTTGTGACAGTGAGGTATGGCCCACATGCCTACGGCGTTTTTTGGTGCTCTTTCTGCCTTGCTGAGTGTGCAGATTCGTGTGGGCTGCAGGGCCATGAATCAGGTTGAAATGCAGCTGGGCTGCACACAGCTGAGAGAAAAAATACTGGTCACAAAAAGCCCTTGTAATTTAACTGTCACCTTATAGGTAGATAATTCCTTGCGGTGCCAACCTCCCCACAGCTGCATGTTATACCCTCTATAGATGTGTCTTTGGCAGTAGTTCCTGACTTATCCTGGAGCCTTACCCTTACTGGTGCAAATGAATGAGAAGGGAGCATTCCCTGCCAAAACATGCTCCTGAGCAATCGGTAGAAATAATACAACTGGATTTTTATGCTGGACAACTGCTGGATTAGAGATGCTCCACCATTTTTGCCTTCATAAAATTGCTGTGCATGAAAAAATCACATAGAGGTGTTGAGTCTTATAAATAGCTAGGGAAGGTGGAGCACAAGAAAGTCTAAAGCTGAGGGAAATTCAACATTGTAGTAGTTGAGCAAAAGGCTGATGGTGAAGTATGGTAGGGTGCTCTTTGGGAACAGAAGACGTTCTGAAAGGTCAGAACTTGCTGGCAGGCAGAAGTGGAGTGTAAAGCAAACCCTCTGGCCTGGGCAGCTGAGCACTGGGCTTCTTGCAGCTCTATGTTTCTGTTCAACCAAACCAAAGCTGTGAGAAAGGACTGGCTGTAGAACACCAGCCTAAGCTCTTCCACTGGTCCCTCGCTGAGGCTCGTCTTTCCTTGTGACCACACGTATCTTCTGCTGTGTGCTGAGAACCTGCATCCTCCCCCTCCAGTTGCACGGCCCCCATTCCTGGCAGGCAGGACTCACGTGGGGTTCTGGCCACAGATGCTGTGCCAAGAGCTGTGTCCGCTCCACTGAGTCGTGTGTCTGCAAGAGAAGGCACAGCTGAAGACACTGGCACTGCAGTAGCTAGAGGCAGCATTGATCAGGCATCCATGAGCAGAACCCTGGCACTGTTCAGGTGTTGGCATAATATTTCCTGGATCAGCAGATTTAAAGTTGCGCTGTAAAATACATGTTAATATGAAATGAAAATGCCACTGCTCAGTCATGTATCCTGCCTGGTTTTTCTTTTTCTTCAAAATTGAGCATCCCTAAGGCTACAAGATATGGAGCCAGCACGAGTTTCTGTGGGAATTCAGGCTTGTTACCAGCTAATCAAATACTCAGTCCACTCTCTTAAAATATTTCTTTCATGGTATTGGAGGGGGATGTACGCCTAATGGGATGGACACTGGGAACAGAGAGTTTAAGGAAACATAAAGCCACTGTAACTACTAATCCAGTTTGACAGCCCACACAAGTACACTAACACGTTGGTATAACATGCTGATGGAGCAGATGGAGAAGAAACACAGCTCAAGCTTACAGGCATCCACAATCCATCAAGGGAAAACAACTCTCATGATCCACATCCCCCTGCATTGCAAGGACTAGTTATTCCTTGTGCTTTACAGACCATAGGAAAACTCTTAAGTGCAATATATGTAAGGTTTTTAATTGCTTGCAACATGCCGACGAGGTGGGCCTTTTCCTTCCCTGTTTAAAGTGGTTGGGTAGGAGAGTTCAAAGCTTTGCAGAGTGTGAAATCCCTGATTCAAATGCCTGAGGATGCCAAGGCTGGAAGCAGAACTACCACAGATCAGGACTTGTTTGCCGGTGCATTAGTATGCTAAAAAACCATTATGCAGTGTAGGGTGCATTGCAGGGTGTGAGCTTTCTTAGCAGCTTGAAAGCACTTCCTGAATACTCAGGGCCTTCTTCCCCCCCCCCCCCAGTGCCTCCCAAAACATCTGAGGAACATGTGTCTGGGTCTCTGTTGTATGCACCACCCTCATCTCCTCTATCCCACAGCTCTGCAAGTGCCAACCTGTTCATGTTTTGATAAGTGTCTCTTTGCAAAGCAGTCCTGCATCAAAGTGAGTGAGGCTTCCTGACTGTGCCACTGCACTAGAGGTGAGATCTCCGGAGGAAAGCAGGAGTCACAGCTCTGTCGCTCAGGTTTCTTCTCTTCATTCACTCTGCAGATCCTGGTATTTTTAAGGAGCATTCATTGGAAAGGTAATGGCAGAGCTTGACTAATGCTGTTTCAGGCATCTATTAAAATTATTGAATGACTATTTGAGATGTTATCTTCCAGGCAGTCAAAACCTCCTCTGACTTTACAACCTTCTCTCTTGCTTCTCATCCCCCTGTTTTGTCATGCTTTTGTCTTACAGCTTAACTCTGCGATTAAACAGTACAGGTTTTAGGCACATGAGTAATTAAATTAACTTGGGAAGACAGACCTGATGTCTTAATGCTTCTAACTTCCACCACTTCTCTTAATTCTCCTGTCTTTTCCCAGGATTTCAGAGGTGGACTGGTTAGCATCCTGAAAATGATTTAAAAGCCACCAGTTCCTGCGTTTAATAGCCAGTCTGAAAGTGACTTCAGTGCAGTGACTGGGGTAAGCGAAGAACCTAGACTGAACTACATCTGTTCAGGTCCTCAAATAGAAACCTCACAGTTACAGCACAAAACTTAAATGAAGAGTTCTCAGTGAGGACCTGCTGCTGGAGTGACCAACACTGCATGGCTGCAGGGACCCCATCTTGAGACCTCACCTGACAGTCTGATTTCTGACTTTCTCCAACTCCAGCTGGCTTCACTTGAGTTGGGATTTGAATTTTCTGTGGAAAATACTGCCCCCAGTTTCCAAGCCAGCAGGGACAGGGCAGGGAGCTTATAGACCTTGGCCAGAGGATTTTATGTCTGAGTTTCTTTGAAATGGGTTCTCAGGGTTTATTCAGTCCTAAAGGGGGTTTAGTGGATGCTGAAGATGCAAATGTCACTTGCATTTTCACTGGCCATTTTTGACAGTGATACTATGGACACAGGTTTGTGTGCAGCTATGGATATATTGCATGGGTTAATCAGTCTACATGAGTATACAAGAGCTGTACTAGACACCTATGTACTAAGCAGAGTACTTTGACTTTAAGATGGAACAACCGTGGCAACAACAAAAGATACAGATAAGATGGCTGGGATAGGGAAAATATACTACTTTGTAACTTCTGTAAATGCTAATCTACTTATAAAACTACTACATGCATTTCTAGGTGATGGTGAAGGGTATTTGGAAGTGAACCAATGCGCAAATCAGGGTGCTAGTACCATGGGGTACATTTCCCAGCAGCTAATGATCTGTTATGGTGATTTGAGGTGAGACCAAAAGCTTTTAAACCAGCTGGATATTCATTGTCAGGACTGTGCATCCAAAGGCCATAGCTGCTCACTGAAACCATGGTGAAACCATTAAGTAATCCCCTTTATAGAGGTCACTGGGCAATCTCACATTGCCTCTTACAGGGGGTTTGAGACTCCTTGCTGTGCAGGTCTTTCCTTCTCACTTTGAAATACAAAAAAGGGGAAAGCAGGCTAGGAATCGATTAGCCATTAAGGAATTATAATTGATATTTAGGGGTTTTTAGAGTGGAAACCTGGAAAAAAACCCCAAACCCAGTATGAAAAAAACAGTAAAACTCATTTGTTTTCTTAATGAGCGTGTAGCACTTAATGTAAAGCATTAAGACTTATCAAGCAGGATTCTCTTGCCACAGAACAGGTACAGCACAGACAGTAGGATTTAAATTCCCTTTATGTTGTCTTCCTGCCTTAAAAATTGACCTCTTTTCTCATGGGAATTGCTTTTAGCTCCTATCATCTTCCCTCTCCTTGCACAGGCAGAGAGTGGTGATAAGCGAGAGAGGAGGGACTGTGGGAGCTTCTGCTCATGCTGAATGTCCTTGCATGGACACTGCCTGCAGCAAAAATCCACTGCAGGTCTGAGCAAGCAACCACTGAGGCACAGATAACTTGGGGAAAGCAGGAACTGATTTCTTGAGCTCTGAAACTGAATACATCTGTCCATAGTTTGGATCTCTGAGTCATGCAAGTCTGCTTTTATAATCAAAAGGAAACAGGGATAATAGAAACAGTCATGTCTGGATTGACCTCAAAGATATCCATATAAAACACAGCATCTCTATTAAGGGTGTTTCTCTGCACAGGCTAGAAAAGAACCTTAAGGTAGCAAACTCATAGTTAAGACACAGAACTTTTACTTGTCTTCCTGGATTTTGCACTCCACGGGATATGGAGTAATTGCACCATTAAAACTCACTGAAAGCTAACACTCATAGGCTGTGAGCAGCTCAGCAAACCCACTCAGCTCCCTCACCACATACCTCAAGCACAAAGGGTTAAGGAAAGTCTGGAATGCCTAAGTCTAAAAGCAACCTTTAAACCTCTGTCAGAGTCTTTATATCCACTAATCCTCCCCATTAACACAGGCCTGTGAAAACCCATCTCTTGGTCCATTGCTTTCTTGCTTGCTTTCTTTGTGGAATAGATGTTTTTAGCATCGAACTGGGATGCTCTGCTGCATGGGCAAGACCCAGCTCCTCTTTTCCCCTGATTTGTTTTCTTATTTTCTGTATCTTCCAATTTACCTGTCACAACAGAAATCCCAGTTAACACTGGGATATTATTACAGTCACATTTCTTTGAGTCCACCACTGTATTTCTTAATCCAGATCTGCGTTTGCACTCCTTTCCCTCCCTTCTACATCTATCAGAAAGGTCCTCTGATGTTTCCAGAAAATCACTGCAGAAGCCTTTTCCTTTGAGCAGGACCCTGACAAAGCACCTCTTGAAAACAGCTCTGGTCCTGCCATGTCCTCTGATACAGCTTTGCCCAGTCCATTAGCATGAACTCTCTTGCTCCAGGGAAAACAAGCACAACCCTTTCCTCAGGTATGGCGTCTTCATCAGATGCTGAATGAGTTGCACCTTTCTTATACTTTGTCTCTCAGCAGCTGCTCCCTACAGTGGTGGTGATGGTCCTGGATTCTGGACCTGGGGCAGGTTGTTTGCCTGCCTAAAGAGCTGCCTGCCCTGCTTGGAAAGTGGTAACCCCTTCTCACATGTACTTCTAGGGTTGCTACATTCATCTGCCCCACTGAGCTATGTAGGGGTTAATGAAATACTGCTTATACAACCCTTTGAAGATGAAAAGTGCAGTGGAAGGGTTCTGTTATTGTTACCATGTATGAAGAGTTCTCTACCAGACTCAAATGTATTGTGTTTGGCCACTGGATGTCACAGCTGCTCAACACACAATGCAGCTGAAATAAGAAAGGAAAAGTGCTCACCCAGCAATGGGCAACAGCCACATTTCCAAAACCCTTATTTTTTTCTGTGAGGAGTGTTTGTTTGTTGAGGGGCTTAGGGATTTCTCTTGTGTTTAGGCACTGCTAATATTGAGTGTCAGAGAGACTGAGCAGCAACTGTGCTTCTTCTGCATGTTATCGCACTAGGAGATCAGGATCAAAATGAGTATTTTTATGAAAGGATGTGCAGATACGTATAAAATGCTACTAACACAGTGTCTGAAAAGGTGGACGAGTACTTGCACAGGCTGACAAGCTGTCTTGTCACTGAGTTATTCCTTCTTTTTCCCACCAGCATCTATTCCACAGCACAGAGCCCTGGTATGATGGAAAAACTTCTCCCAAGCCAGCTCTCAGCAGCACTCAGGCCATGTTCTTGTGTACCTCACACTAAATACAGGGGGAAGATGGACCCTTCCTAATTCTTTCTTCACATTTTGGGTTTATTTTCCAAAGTCCCAAGTAGACATCCAGAACATAACTTCATATAAGTCACATAAGTGACGTAAGTGACTTTCAGCAAAGTCTGTAAAGCAGACTTATAAAGACATTACAAGAACTGTAATTACATTTCCTGGAAATGAAAATGAAGAGGGATTATTCGACCGTGTTCTCTTCTTTTTATAGCATCACATTGTCCTTTTTGCCACCTTGGGGAAATGGTGAGTGAAAGGCTGCTCCTGGTGCAGTGAGGTGATAACCACCCCAGAAGTGATGTGAGCAATAAAGAGGGGAAAGTGCTTTAAGATGATCCAAGAGCTATACCTATGACTAAGAGTAATTGGCTGAAACTGAGCAAAAGAACATTTAAGTTGACAATGAACTGCAGGTAGCTAATGCTGAGATCTCTTAGACCATGAAATGGAATTTCTAGAGGGAACCTCTCTGCTTTGAAATGGACAAATCGTGCTTTTAGGAACACTGGTGTAAACCTCCAGTGTCTATCCCTGACTCCCTCAAAGCCCATTTCTATCACAAAGCTTCAGTAGAATCAACAAACATGTCTGAATTTATGGTGGGAGAGGGTAAATTTATCCAAGCACATCCAAATACTACAGAAGAGGAAGAAGGCCTAAAGAGATCGTGTGAACTGGAGAAATGAATTCTAGTGCTTTGACTTCTGTGATCTCTGTATGTAGTTGGAAGCCAGGGGGCAAAAATGAGGTTAGGGGGGAAATAAAACATAGACAAAATTCAAAGAAGCAAGGGCCAGTTTTGGATGGGAGATGTAAAAACATTACAGGAATTGTTGAATAAAAGGATTTCATGTTTCAATCTGCACAGCTACTGCCAGCTTTACTCATGGGTTTGGGGCTAGCAGCACTAGCTGCTTTTTGTTGTTACAAAATTTGTGTAGGCTCATTCCTCCAGCCTGAGTGAGCTCTATCTGAAGAGGTTTTGGACTCACTTATGAATACCTAGATAACCTGACTGAAGGCAATCTATCCATCTTACATCCAACAGCCTGCTCCTGGTCACATGTTTGTTGGCTTGGGAGTGATGCAGCTATTGCTGCAACCCCTGATGAAATTCCTGCTGATTCAGAGGGAAAGGGGTTAACCCTTTCAAATTCTGGGTCAAAGGAGCACTGGGGTATAGAGCCAGCTACTTCAGTGCAATGGAAAGGTTTTAATGTGGCTACCAATACTCAGAATGGGTCTGAAAGTCAGACTTGAGCTGAGGTTTAGGCCAGTGAGGACAGATGGAAGAGCCAGGGAGAAGCAGGGTTTAAAAGATGGCAAGGAGTCAGGGGAAACCGTAGAGATAAAAGTGAAGTGCATGGAAGCCAATGATGTGGGATAAAAGGCTTATTTCCTAATGTAGTCAAGGCAGGGTTGGGGAGGCTGAAGTCTGTGTAACTGCATCTGTGTGAAAGCAGCCTGACTTTGTGAGGAAATCCTGCCAAGGATATTCACAGCTGAGATAACCTGACATGAGATTTTCTCACTAGCTAAAGTTGGGTGCAGAGAGGAGTCCTGTTAGACCTACAGTCTTCTTCTTCACCTGTAAAACACCAGTTTACTTCAAGCATGGTCCTGCTGTGATATCTGGAGTTCCTGGGCACTATGTCCGTACTTCTCTCCAGCAATTACATTGAGATAGCAAAAGAGGTGACTAACAAAGACAAGCCTCAAGCCAGGTGGAATACCATAGACATAAAAAAGCTATAGCTCCAAACCCAATAATGATAGAAGTGTGCAATACTTCATACAGGAGAAGGTCTCCTCCCTTATTATTCAACTTGTAGTTAGAAGCTTAATATTCAAATACATTTAATGAGTTTAATTAAAATTATTCTGTCCTAACTCCAAAGCAAACTCATACTTAGTGCCCTTAGAAAATCCTGTCCCCAGACTGCTGTGCCTTCCAGAGTAACCACTAATCTGGAAGAAGCTAACTTGAGCTAACAGAGATGTTGGTTTTGGCTGTGCTGAGCACCCGGGGCTCCTGCTGATGGCAATTAAAATGTCACAATTCTAGCATGTTGCAAAAGCTCCATTAAAAATTAATTCACTGTCATCTCCAGTTCCCTGGCGCCAGTACATTCCCAAATGGGCTTTATTTCAAACCCTCTGTGCAGACTGGGCTGGCTGATCGATAAAGCACAGCTTGTTCCTAAGTGACATCCATTTAAACGCTCTTGGCACACACAGGCAGGAAGGGTGACAGGAGGGATGCTGTGATGCAAGAGTGACCTCCTCTTCTTGACTCTTGTTCACACCCTCCTGTGCTGCTGGGTGGAATCCTGGAGTATGAACAGCATAAACCCCCAAAACTTCTCCCTCAGCTAATTTCAAAGCCTGTTTACCCAACAGGATACACAAGGATTATGAAGAGCATTGCAGGGCATGTTTGATTAGTTTAGTCCTTACACAGTTCAGCGCAGCTGTCAGGATAAATGACTTCTTTAGAAGAGAGAGGGAAAAAAGACACATTTGGTTAATCACCAATATTACAGCAGTAATAATTCCAAAGATTAAATATGCACAGCACAAACCAGTAAACCAGGAAAGCCTTTTAATGTTAACAATTCCCTTGCAAAGAGTCAGATTTTGAATAGAAAACCTGCTTCTGTTCTTCAGCACGGCCTAATCCTAGTAACTCGAGTTCACATCTGAAACTCACCTGCAGCTCTCATTGTTCAGTTGCTGCTATTACATACCCTATTGCTGAAAACAATAACTGCAAACATCATTGCAAGTGCAGGGATACTGCAACCAGAAGTGCTGCGACTTCACTGACGTCAGCTTTCTTGTCAAGTGTTTCATATTGCTGCCTGGCACCCACAATCAACAGCAAAGTTGTTCTGCGTGTGCTCTTCTCAGCACCAGGTGAAAATTCCATTTCTGGGGAGATTTCTGCTCCCCTTTTGTTCTTAAAGTGGGTTTATGGGTTGGGAAGCACTGCTGGACAGAAAGGGCTGTTGCTCAGTGTGTGTCATTCTTAGAGGGAGGAGAAGGCTATTCAAAGGGAATGACATTTGCCTAGTAACAGGATACAAAAGGCAGGCAGAAGATCCATGGCCTGTTCTCTGGGCTGCTGAATTACTCTTTCACTGGATCTTGGGCAATTATTTGCTCAGAACACGTTTTTAGGGAAATGGAGTGCCTGAGGATGTGCAGAGCAGCTCCTGAAGTCCAGAAGAACATTTGGACATCTGATACCTCCTAGTTCTTTTTTGAGCTCCTGTATGGTTTGAAAAAGCCATCAGGGTTTCAGTATCTTGTGTCATGCCTGTGTCTTCCAGCAGCCTAAATGCTTTTTCACAACTCTGAATTTTCCAAAGGTTGCAGATCTCTCCCATTCAAAACTAGATTTTCAGTGACTAGAGATGGTGTTGAAATCAAAATGCATTGAAATACTAAGCTGTGAGAGCATTTGTAAACCTGGCCTCAGAAGTGTAATTTCAAAGGAGCTAAGTGCCTACAATTTTGACTTCTAGTAAGAGGATGAAAACCAGTCCCTTAAATGCCTTTTGCCTGGGCTCCTTCCTTTGTATAACAAGGAAACAGTTTGCCACCTCAGGACAGTGTTTGGAGCTCTGTATTAGGCATCTTTGCTTACAAAGCACTCTTTTACAGATATTTGCAATGAAGCATTTCAACCTGCTCATCAGGAATGAACGGACAGGAAAAGTGGGCAGGAGTGTGTACAGACAGCACTGAGACCACCAGCTTTGGCTGTTGGTGGGGAAACTTGTTCCATTTGCACAGACAGCTTGGTTCAAAGGGTCGATAAAGTGCCCTCAGTATTTAAAGCTGACTGTCTAACTAAAATCTCTCTGGGGCATTGTTTGCTAGGACTGTTTTGGACGGGTAGAAGGGCAAGATGGGTGCTGGAAGGGCCAGACCCGGAGTAAACTGGTATTTGTGCTTCCTGAGGATTTGTAAAGAACTCACTCTCCCCCTTGGTTCTTACAGCAGATACAGTGAGAGAGATGTGGATCACAGCTGCCTTGTTCTACCTGCTCCTGGTGCATCCGAGCTGCTCTCACCTAGTGCACTGGACATACAAAGGTAATGCAAAATGAGGCTGGTTTGGGATCTCTACTGTTTGCTTAAGACACTCCCATGCTTTTTGTGCTGCAGAAGCAATGCTCAGCTCAACTCTCTTTCCATTAGTGAAAGATCTTCACAGAGCACCTAATTCAATCTACTTTATTGATGCCTGTGTGTCTTGAAAGTGATTCTCTTCAATGTTACCCCTTTTTACTCCTTTGTGTGGCTAGGACACATTGTCAGAGTTGGCAGACCAAGGAGGTTCAAACAATGAGGGAAACCTTCACATGTGCTTAAATAAAAGCTGCCCTTTGGATGATCCTGGAAGGAAAAGCTTTAAATACTGCCTACTTATTGTTTCATTGTCATATCCCATGCAGTGCAGATCACTAAGAAGAGCTTATTTATGTATTTATATTCTTTATGAAATTTTAGCTTTTCTTCCATTTCAGGAGGTTGTTTGCAGAGCTCATTGAAGTAAATGATAGTCCTTTTATGATCTGCAGTGGGGTGGGAATTGAGATAAAGCAAAGGATATTGTTGAATAGATGAGATAGTGCAATTAGGACACTAAGCTGTTTGCAGAAGTTCTCTCTGGGTTTTCTTTAGGCCGGGCTCTCTGCATGTACTAACTCCCCCATATTTAATCAACGCCAGGAAACAAACACCTGCAAACTGACATTGCTTCAATGAAATAAAAAGGATTAACAAATAGTAACCCCTCCTCAGGTGTGGCCATCATTGTAACTGAAAATTAGGGAGGTGAGGAAGTAGCTTTGAATTATTTCCCTTTTTACAGCCATCACCTTGCCTTCCAACCCATCTCTGCAGGGTTTGAAGTCTGAGTGCCACAATCACATGAGGATTATTCCTCAGCTGTAGCTCTGTTTGTCTCAGACAGACATGACTCTGACGTTAATCAATATATCTCAGTTCTGGGCTGAAGAAAAGGTTTCCTTTCTGGTTGTCAGTTACAGCCATGACAGAGACGGTGTCAATATTTCTACTTAAAGTCCTAAATATAGCACTATGGAAAGGGCAAATAGCCTTGAAGGGTTCAAGCATTTGCTCAGTTTCAACAGCACCCAGTCCTCCGCAGGAAAGAGTCACATTAGGGCTAAAAGGCTTAGAACCATCAGAAAAAGGATAGCATCCAGCATGCCAGGTCTCCTACACGTTTACTTCCTCTATAAGGTGACCAGAGGAGGTTTTTAATATTAAATACTTGCAGAGATGATGAACATGTGCAGGTGAAGCTGTGGCCTTTAATTCTTAGTCCCATGTCAAAGGTCTGTGTAGGAGCTAGTGACACTGAGCAGCAAAAGGAGTTGGTATTAACACTTGGCATGACCTTTAGGGGCTATTAGGCCTCAGGGCTGAAGTGGCACCAAGAGCTCAGAGTAATAAACAGTATCTTGACATTGGGACACCCAGGTCATATTCCACACCAGGATCTGCCTATCCTGGTGTGGAATGTACTAGATTCACTATCTAAGTGAATCACTTATTTGTTGTGCGTGCAGAGGGGGCCCCAGGAAGAGGTATAGCTCTGTGCTCAGGAGAGGGGTGGCTTTGTTAATGAAAACTCTCCCAAGATACCAAAGCCACCCCAGACCACTCCTATCCCTGCAAGCATACAAAAGATTAAATATATTTAAACCTGGAATGGTTTGAACTCTGCTTTTATATTCTTCTTCTATTAGCTCTCTTTAGTTAAAACGAGCAAATTTGCTGTTCATTCCTTACCCTAAGCAGAGACTTTCCACCTATAGCCCTGGTCCTATTCACTCTCGCATTCGTTAAGAACCTGGTTCCACATCTTTGGCAGTTGAGACCCATTTAAATCCCCTTTTCTGTATAAATACTGCTTCTGTTTTTGTGGAGGTTCAGTCCCCAGTGATCAGCAAGCTATTACTGCAATGCAGGCTTCTTATTTTGCAGCACAGCTGTCCTGCAGACAGAATAATGTATATTTTCACTCTAGGGAAGGCACAGCAACCTTTTATTGCTGCAGCTCCTGGTGTTATAATAATTAGATTGACGTGCCCTGCTGGCAAATGAGGAGAGTCTTCTGACTCCTGAGCTAACAACAGTTCTCAGCATGTCCTAATAACCTGGTTTGCTTCTCCTCCACACAGAAGGAGAGCTGGATGAAGAGCACTGGGGAAAGCACTTTGCAGACTGTGCTGGCAAGCGCCAATCTCCAGTTGACATCCAGAGGAAAAAAGTGAGGTACAACCCCCAGTTGCTGCAGCTGGAGCTGAGTGGCTACGATGGGCCTTTGCAGGGGGATTTCACCATGACCAACAATGGTCACTCTGGTAAGACCAGGGGGATTCTTCTCATTACCTGCCTAAAAAACAGGAGCTGGCCAAAAGGTCATTGCTGGCAAAGGAAGAGCCTGAAACAGAAATCAGGGCACAGAGCACAAGGAGTTTAGTTGGTCCTGCAGCAGCTTGAGCTGTCAGTCACCTTTCTGTCAGAGAAGCAAAGCACCAAAGGAGCAAGTGTTGCCTGCCCCCATCAGTCCCATTTTGTCCCCTGAGCAAAATGGGGCTAACGCTTTGTACATGCATGGACCACTGCACACGCAGCATCCAGGGGCATCCCATGCACTGTTTCCATGACAGCAGGTGATGCTGGCAGCCAGCAGCACAGGGAACAGGTCAGCAGCAGCCAAGCAAAGGCCTTACATTTTTGAAATGTGGATGTCTTTAATGGTAGCTCTGAAAACTCACCCCTTTTATCCAAACCTCTTTGCTAGCATCCTGATGAGTTCAGGATTGCATCATACTGGTTTGAGTCCTGCAGTGCATTTGATGGGAGAAAGCACATACCTTCCTGCTGGGACAGCTAATGGAAGAGATGCCTGAACCTGACAACTTTCAACTTTGAAGCTATAAAATAGGCTGAGGTGTATCCTCTGGAGGTTTCACCTGGCATTTCTAGCACACACAGGGTATGGGAAGAGCTCCTGTGTGTTCACCTCAGCACTTTACCCTAACTAGAACACAGTCACAAACCTTTTCTGGGCAGCCAGTGTCACTAGGCTGAAATGGGGTGGAAGGAGCCAGCTTTACCATAGCAATAGCCAGTATTTTCTTCCCTAGCTCAGATATCCTGGGAGGATGTCAGGCTTGTTACAGTGCAGGAACAGATTATTCATTTTAGCTGATTGAAATGCTATTCACACACAATGCCCTTTTTCTTTGAACTCACCTTACTTTGCTTTGCATCTCACTTCATTCTGCTCCCGTAGTTCTGCTGTTTTCCCTGATCACACAGGAAAGCTCTCCAGAAACATGTGTATATACACATATATATATAAACATGTGTATATACACAGAGAAATAAAAAGCCAGTTATGTTCCTGCAAGATATTTTCTCTGCTAGGCATCAAAAAGGGATAAAAGGCAAATAGAGCATTATAGATTGACCCTTTCATTCAGTGTAGTGCAAGACTGCAGGACTACAGCAGTGAGTGGTATTTGGGGCATACTGACTCCTCTCTGCATTTAGAAAATGCACCTTTTGCAATAATAAGAAACGATAGGAATGGAGAACCATAGTTCAGTAGCAGGTTTGTGTCTGAGGTTTGGTTAGATGCAGGTCACACAAAGTACAACACAGAGGAGAAACCCTCCCTTCTAGTCAGAGGATTGGTATTTCAGGTCTTGGGAAGAAAAGCTGAAGCACAGCATGGGTTAAAAGCCTTGCCTTTGGCCGCACAGTCTTGGGGCAAGGTTTATAAATTAAGAGGTCCTGGATTCCCCTGCTGCAGTCTGTAATTCATTGCCTAAATAATTCATCAGCTGGTACTGTTGGGATAATGCTTTTGGACTACAGATGAGCAACAAGGGAATTTTCTAATAGCTGCAGTGGGGAGGGAATGAGTGTTTCTGGGAAGGTGTTTGGAACACAAAGCTGGTAGCTCCTTAATCCTGCACAACAGTCCTTTCTTCCTCTAACAGAGACAGAGAGAAATATGGTGTGAGGGCAGGAGATGAAGTGATGAGACACGTAATGCCTTCAGAGAAAGACCGTGGTGATTGTGTTTCTTAAAACCGTAACTCCTGTTTGTCGCCCTCACAAGCTCAACATTCAGTTAAAGCTCTCATGTCAGCATTGTTACCCTGACTGCCTACAAATGAATTCCTGCAGGTGTAGCTTTCAGACCTGATTGAGCATATGTATTTTCCTGTTCTTTTGTTAACATCAAAACAATGGTTTTCCCATGCAGGGCATTTTAGTAAAGCACAAAGGCAAATGATTGTCCTTATTCACAGCTCCTGTGAAGTCAGGCAGGGTTTTCTTACTGGCATCAGTGGGATGGGACACGGTAGCAATATCTCTCAGAGAAAATATTCCACTGGGCCACAGCAGAAACCATTCAGCAGACCTGAAAGGACAGGAGATGGGTTTGTCAGCAAGATTCTCCTTCCAGGCTCTGAGAAGCTGAAGATCAACTGTTTCACCTAAGAAACCAGATACAACTAGAGAGAAAGTGTATAATTACCAGGCTAAATCCCACCTGATAAAGCCTCGTTGAGTGGGCTGCCTTCATGCTGTCAGCAAATACTTGCTTTAGATATCTTACAGAACACTTGAGCTTGTCATAAACTCAGAGCACAATTCCCTGGCTGTGTTTTGTAGAAAGCAGAAACCATAGTGAGGTACTTGAAGCAAATAAGCCTAACTCTGGAAGGCAGTCAGCAGGGATCTTGTGTAAAAACGTAGATTTCCCCCTCACACACTCGAGGCTCTTCAGGATATTACAAGGAAAGATGTTTTCATCTTGTCTGTCTGGAAACAGTTTACAAGCAAAAGAAGCTTCTCACTAACAGAATCTGTGACTAATGAATCATATAATGTGCCACATTTTGCAAGGGTAGTTGCTATTTTTCATGACATGCTGTGGGCTTTTATTAGGATGAGGCAATTCCCACTTTCCCTCCTATGTTTGGCATATTTATTAACACAATATATGATTTGTAGCAGTATATTAGCAGGAAGACAAATGGTTCATAGTCTCTTTGTGAATGCTCCTTGGCAAGGAGAAGCAAAGAGATTTATCTCTACAAATCCTTCAAGCATTAACACAGCCTTTTCAAATTTAGGGGGCTCTGGCCCTGTTTGCCTGTTCCTAGAAGATGCAGATTCCAGAACACTGGAAATGATGATGACAGGTTAGAGGAGGCCAGTGACTTTGTTGATTTCCATTCCCCTTTTCTTCCTTGGAAAGAAAGCAGTTAAATCTGTGTAGAACCCTGCAAGATGTGATGTACTATACGAGAGATAAGCATTAAAGCACTTTTAGTGCCTAATTAAAACCCAGAGCTGCTTAGATAGGAAAGATTGCAGACACAGCTAGTGCCCAGTCATTTTTGTGCCTGGTTTAGTCTTTGTGGTGCGCAAGCCTGAGGTCAGGAAAGATTTTATGCACACTTAGCTTTATGCTTCAGTGGTTTTCCTTGTATACTGGAGTTAGTTCCCTGAACATGCCTATTCCTGCTTATTTCAAGAGTTACTGGCAGAAAGCACTGGGCACTGTAAGCATAACTACAAGAATGGGCATGGCTGCACCCATTGCTGTCTCCAATCCTGTTTTTTTTCAGTTCAGATTGATTTGCCACCTACCATGCACATCTCCAGAGGGCTCCCTGGCCTCTACACAGCTGTACAGATGCATCTGCACTGGGGTGGCCTGGACCTGGAGACCAGCGGCTCTGAACACACCATAGATGGGATGAGATACTTTGCAGAGGTACATGTGAATGGAGTGAGCCAGAAGGAGGGTGCATTGCGGGTCTACCAGTTGGGAAACTGGAAGCTGCAGCCCACAAAGCCTGCACAAGCAATGCAGAGGCAAGTGGGAGAAACAGGGCTGCCACCAGTGCAGGTGTTGGTGCAGTGCAACAGCTCAGCCTGATGGTGCTGCTATAAAAGACTAAAAAAACCCATAGCAGTAATATCCTTCAAGTCTGGAGTTGTTCCTCCACATTTCATCACAAACCTATTAAAAAAAAACTGTAGAAAGGTCTGCTTGGCTGTGCTGTAAGGCACAAGCAGCAGGAATTGGGATTGTGACTCCCCCTTCAGTCTGCACTAGGTCCTTTGAAGCACAGAGGAAAGCCATTTATCACTTCTTGCTGACCCTGTCTCTCTTCTGACAGCTGCACATTGTCCATTACAACTCAGCTGACTACTCGAGCTTTGAAGAAGCCAAAGACAAACCAAATGGACTGGCTGTGCTTGCCTTCCTGTATGCGGTAGGTTTGATGCCCGGGCTGCTGAGCAAGGCCAGTCTGTGACCACTGTTCATACTGTAATCACAGCCCAGACACAAACAGCCTGTACTAGGTATGCATGTCTATCCTAAGAGATGATACCTGCCACCAGCTTGAGTAAACTGTGCTTTAGGAGGACTATTCTTCCCTTATGCCACAATACCAGCCAATAAAACTTGGGAGCCCCAGATAAATTTGTCCTGTAAGAAGTATACATGGAATATCAGGTGTGACAGCAGGGTATTCCCTGCTGCACTTCAAAGCCTTGCTCTGATTTGCAAATGGGGGCACTTCATTTTGTTTAGAAGTGGTGAAAAGGGATCCTTACAGTTCACCATTCTCCCTGAGATCTACATGTACATACCTCATACCATACCAAGATATCTGAGATAGTGTCTGTTCTCTTTGTCTTCCAATTCCTCAATTAGTCCCCCAAACTGATTAATAGTATGGAAGCACAGGCAGGTCACTAACCTGTTCAAGTTGCTATGCTGTGTTTAGGATGGACACTTTGAGAATACCTACTACAGTGAATTCATTTCCAAACTGGCAAAAATCAGGTTTGCAGGTAAGACCCGGGAATGCTTTTCTCCATCCTTCTCAAAGCCTGTACATGTGTACTGGCTCTGGGAAAATTTTACTGCTACTTTGCTTGCTGTTACATAGCCAAGCACAACTTTACACTGTCCCTGCCCATGCAGCTCAAACATCAGCTCACACAGCAGGGTGGGGTGGAAGATGCTTAAGGCAGCAATAAACATCCTCCTGGTAGGTCTACGCATCACACTGCAGCACCATCAAATAACAACTTCCTATGATCCTTCAATCCATAAGCCCAGATAGCAGATGCTCTGCTGCTCTAATACACTGTTTTCTGGGAGGACTAACTGCTACTGGCATTGCACTGATTTGCAGTTCCCCACCACATCCAGGACCCCACATAGTTCTGAACAACAAATAGATCTATTGAAAGGACCTTTTATTTCCCTCCTTCATCCACTTCTGCCAACAGTCTAATATACCAGTGCTCTGGGCAGAGTGATTTGCCAGCCCCAGCTCTGACACTGCTTTCACCTTTCTCTTTGTTCCCCATTAGTTGTTAATATTCCCTCTCTGTTTTCTTTTGAGGTCAATCAACAAAGCTCCTTTCTCTGGATGTCCAGGCCATGCTGCCAGAAAACCTCTCACACTTCTACAGGTACCAGGGCTCACTGACAACCCCACCTTGCTCTGAGAGTGTGATCTGGACCATCTTTCATTCTCCAATTCTCCTGTCACACACACAAGTAAGTGACAGCTTCACCAGACAGAGCAGCTTCTCTTTCCTCCACACTTCACCTTTTCATACAAGCTTGCTTTTCTGTTCTCCAGTGAATTGGGGAACGGCCTGGCAGAGAGGCTAACGGGGCACTTCTACAGGGCTTTTGAGGATATACTCCTAAGTAACTGGAATTGCAGGTGGCTGGAATGACACTGTGATGAGACATCAGAGCAAGAGCCAATTTCTGTATAGCAGCAGTTTACCTGAGGTCTGGTGAGCAATAACAAAGCTCTCTGCTCAGTTAAGCTCAACCATACTGAAGCACTACCAAAAGGAGAAAAAAGTCAGGACCAACAAGGGAAAAAACTACTGCAAGAAAGTCCAGCCCTCCCCCAAAACCCATAAAAGAGTCATTCATAACATCAAAATAATTACTGAATAATTGGCACATTTTTAAAGAGCATTTCAAGTTTTTTCTTGCCTACACTTACACTGTGCAGCTAGATTGGGTCACTTCAGGAACAGCCTGTTGAGAGTTTTGGCTCTGTGATAGGAGAGGGTTCATCCAGGTTCCAGTGGAGGCATTACAGAGAAACTTGTTGAGTGCACAGGAGCACTGGGCAGTAACCCCGCTTCTCCCAGCAGTTGAATACCGTCACATGGCAGCGTACCCTTCTCTCTGTCTGCCTTGTCAGGACAAAGGCTTTAGCAGGAAGAAAGTAACACAAGTCAAATTATCTTACCAGTGAGTTGCAGAGTGGTTCATCCTCCTTAATGAAAGAGAAGCATGAGAAACATTTTCTTCTAGGAGAAGAACAAGATAAAATCGAGATTACAGTAGTGGAGGATCACAGTGTGTCCTCACTTGAAAAAGAAACATTCATTTTGGCAGGAGAAAGGGTAATAGGCACTTGTGAGAACACAGTATGCTGTGGAATAGCAGCAAAATCTCCATCCATGCATAGCATCAGGTGTTACAAACTTCCTTCAGGCAAATATCTTTATCATGAATTAACTGATAAGAGCCCTCATGTTCTGTTCCTTTCCCTTGCTAATACACAGCAAGAGACCCTGTGGGTTCCTCTGTAACTATTCACTAGGTTGACTCCCGAGCTGCAGGATCTGCACTGTCCTTCTTGGTAAAACCATTGTCCCCATTGCCCTCCATAATAAGCCTGTGCTGCTCACAGATCAGCCTCCTGGAGAACACCTTGCTGGACTGGCAGAATAGGACACTGCGCAATGACTACCGGCACGCACAGCCCCTCCATGGGCGCGTGGTGGAGGCCTCCTTCAGGTCCAAACCCACCCAAGGTAAAGGGAGTCAAGGGGCAGGACTCGGGCCTTACCCAGGGAGGAGCAAGAAGCCAGTGTGGAGGGAGTTAAGTTGCAAATCACTCAAGTTAAGCATGCTGGAGCTCACCTTTCCTGGGAGGCGCAGCATCCCTGCACAGCAGGCGGAGATGGTCCAGTGCCTCTTTGCCCCCTGCTTGTTTCTAATGCTGCAGTGGTGGCTGCAGGTTGTGTGCCAGCCCTTTGTTTTGACCACGAAGGTGTCACACATCTCCAAAGTGGTGCTAAATGGCACACTAGGTTCAGGTGTGTCTGCACCCAGATGGGTTCAGAAACAGCCCTGGCATGGCTGGTTAACCAGGCACCACATAGAGGTGGGACATCACATTTTAAAACAAAGGGTTTCCCTAAACTTCCTGCAAACTAGAAAGCAGGAAAATCTACCACGTGCAGGTACTGGCTTCCTGTAAATTCAGCTGTCTGATTGCTCTAGAACAATGCCATCCGGAAGAATTCAGCCTCAGGCTGGAACAAATCCAGATGCAGCTCCAAGACGTGAAGAGAGAGTTGCTGAATGGAGGGAGCCACATAGGTAAGAAACACCATCTGTTCTTGAGCCCAGCTTACCTTGCAAGAATGAAGAACCCACACTATACTGTCCGTGATGGCTTAAATCATGAACAGGTTTGGTTCTGGTATGTGCAGGTAGGATTTTGTCCCATTTCTAGGCCATAATCTAGCTACTGTCACAGTAACTGCAGCTTTCTCCTGCAACATGTAAGCACATTTTTACAAACACGAAGGATTTTAAGCTGACAGTTCCCCTGGGGTAAATAATCATCAGCTCTCTTTTACACAAAGATGAGAAAAAAGGAAGAAGGGGAAAAGAAGGAAGTTATTTTCTCAAATAGTAGTTAAGCTTATCATCATTTCAAGCCCATTCCATGTTGGTACAACACACACGCCAGTAACTGTGGCTCAAGAAAACTAAGAGTGCCAGTTCCTATGGGTGTATTCTTCAGGATCCAGGCTTAAAGGCACAGCTGGAGATGTAACAGCTGGCTTTTTGGTTGTTTCAGGTATTAAATCCAGCACTTTTCCATCTTTCTACTTCCCTGTGGAAAACATCGAGAGTTTTGTGAACATTCATCCCCTCCATGATATGTCTCTCCAAGCCTTCACCTTATGCTTCTGGATCAAAGCCCAGCATGCTGGCAGCCAGACTGTTCTTTCCTACTCCACACAAGAGAAGGATAATGAGCTAGCGCTGACAGTGGGCACAGATGTGGGACTGTGGATAGGAGGCCATTTCATCAGCTTCCCCCTGTACCACAAGGCACAAGACTGGCTGCACTACTGCATGACATGGGCTTCCTGGTCTGGAACAGCAAATTTATGGCTCAATGGAGCAGCTGGTAAAGCAAAGAGTATCCAGAAGGGGTATGTGAGCCAGGCTGGAGGGACCCTTGTCCTTGGGAAAGACAGAGACATTCTTCTTGGGACGTTCTCCAATGGCTTTGCAGGGTGGATGACTCGCGTGAACCTGTGGAGCCAAGTTCTCAGTCCTGCAGATATTCGGGCACTTGCACTGTGCAAACCAGGGCACCTGAAGGGAGACATCATAGCATGGGGAGAAACCCCCATGACCCTCTTGGGGGGGGTGGTTCTGGAGCCTGACACCAGCTGTCAGTGACCCCAAATTTGGGTTTTTTTCCTTTTTTTGAATTAAGGAAGCAGAAAAATCCAAACTTCTGGTTGAGGAAACTTTAAAACCTGGATGATTTGCTTGTTTCTCCTTCTGCTTTGCATAGGCTCACTATGCCCCTGCTGGTGTTTCAGGTTGGTTTTCCAAGAGAGCAAAGCCTCCGGCAGTGGGATAGAGGCAAAGAACAGACAGAACATGGCACAGTCCAACACAGTTTGATTTAGGCTCCCCATACACAGATCTTCCTACCTGCCAAAGGGCTTCTCTCTTGGGTCAGAGGAGCCACTTTATCAAATAAAGTTTCTCTCATCCTTCACCCAGTCTCAGTTTCTCACCATCTTCCCCACATGGATCCTTCCGTCCCATCTCTCACCATCAAATCACCACCCCTTCCCCTGCAGACATCCCACAGGAAAGAGCAAGCAAAGCCCTTACAGACAGAAAGTGACTCCTGTGGTCACCGAGCTTTGGTCAGTGGCATGCCTTCTTTTCTGTAAGTGGATGTAGAGGCAGAGCATGGAAACAGCTGCTTCAACATGAATACATCACAAGCTGGAGGGCAGGCATAAAACTCATCTTCTAAGTCAATCATGTGAAGGAATCTCCATCAACACCACAAAATCCATGCCAGCCTGTTCAACAATTCTGCTTTTTTACAGAACAGAGGACAGCCATCCCACATAACAATTCATTTCCCATGGTAAATTATGCCCCAGTTAGCCCCAAACCCCCTTACACTGAAACACTTCAAAAAACACGCAGTTTTCATCAGTGTGCACTTTACTTTCTTCTCAGTCAGCACCAGTCCTTAGACTCAAAGCTTTTCTCAGTGGAATGGTGCCTTAGGGAACATAACCAGAAACCAGTAGAAGGACCAAGCTCTAAACCACCTAAAGACTTTTTCAAGTGGTTTCAAGTACCTGAGAGCTGAGTTATTTCAAAAACTAGATTTAAAGAACTCAATGTGAGAAGCTAAAGACAAGCTTGGACTTGTTTGCAAACACAAGTAGCCCACTGCACAGGAATCAGCCTGAATCTGACTCCTGCAGCAAGGAAGTTCAATGTTATCTATTTGTGGGGCTGACTGAGCTTCAGCTGACTCATACATACAAAGTAGTGATATGGGGGTTATTAAAGGATCACTCTTTGGCAACTGAAGTGTAAACACTAGGGAGTGCAATGAGCTAAATAGCTTTGTGCCACTGGAACAAATGGGTATAAACTGGTCCTGAATAAGCACCAGCCAGGTGGGTGGTTCCTAACCTCAAGAATAAGGCTTTGGAAGGACTCATCAGCAACAGCTGAGGACTAGGTTTGATTTGAAGGAGGGAGTTGGGTGAGCAGGATGGGTGTGAGGCTATAGTGATATGCATTTCCCATGTAGTGGTCCTTTGAAGCACACGAAGGACAGGTGTTGACAGGGTAAATGCTGTTAGCAGCCCACCTAACAAAGTACCTGAGAACAACTGACACATTCTCTACCCCAGAGCAAAGGCCTGGCAGTTCCTCAGAGGAATATAGTACAATCCTTGCACACAACTGACCAAAACCCAAGAGCTGGCTTGCACCACTTGAGATGTATCAGAACATCAGGAACATATATCACCACATGGCACAGGTTATTTGATCACAGAAACAGAGCTGGCTGAGGATACTGCCCTTTCCATGTTGCAAATACTCTCAATGGGTAATTTGCTTTGGCAGTGGCTATAACATGAAGTAGGGTGGTCTTGTTAACAGACCTGTTGGAGTGAGTCTAGAGGAGACAACAAAGATGCTCTGAGGGCTGGAGCAGCTCTATTCTGAAGCCAGGCTGAGAGAGCTGGGCTGGGTCAGCCTGGAGAAGAAAAGACTCTTTAAAGGGAGACCTTAGAGCAGCTCCAGTGCCTAAAGGGGCTGCAGGAAACCCGGAGAGGGGCTTTGGACAAGGGCCTGTAGGGACAGGCCAAGGGGAATGGCTTTAACCTGCCCGAGGGGAGACTGAGATGAGCTCTTGGGTAGAAGCTCTTCCCTGTGAGGCTGCTGAGGTGCTGGCACAGGGTGCCCAGAGAAGCTGTGGCTGCCCCATCCCTGGCAGTGTTCAAGGCCAGGTTGGACACAGGGGCTTGGAGCAAGCTGCTCTAGTGGAAGGGGTCCCTGCCTGTGGCAGGGGTTGGAACTGGATGAGCTTTAAGGTCCCTTCCAACCCAAACCATTCCATGGTTTGGGCTGGATTACTCATAATGAGAACATTCTCAAGACACAATGGCTTATGTGGAAACTCCTGCTGTGGAAAGCTTGCAGAAGGTCTGAATGAAGATCGGTATCAAAAAAATAATCCATGTATTTGTTCTCCCACTGAATGGATCTTGGAAAATGTCTGGGCCAACACTGGGCTGGGTCACAGCTCATGGCTGGAGATTTCCTTCTTCTCTGCCTGCCCACCTGGGACAGCTTGGAAATCCTTAAGCTCTTCTTTGTCTTCCTGAATCTCCACCTTGTTCCTCTTGGCCATGATCCTGTTGATTTCCATGAAGGTTTTGTTCTTAGTCTCAGGAACAATGATGAAGATGTAAACTATAGTGGCGAGGCAGATGCCACAGAAGATGAGGAAGCTGTAGGGCCCCAGTCCAGCCTAGGGCAAGGAAAGGAGAGCATGGATGAGGACAACGTTCCAGTTGCGTACTTCACATGATTTAGACATGCTGAGCTCTGCAATAGCTAGAAAAAAAAGCAGCCACAGTGATGTGTATGTATTTTATGTTGAATGACTTAAATGATTGAATTAACTTGAAGTTAGGAGTGGCTCTAGATTATCTTCTCATATCGCCACCATGGATTCATTGGAAACCACTATTGGTTCACTGGAAAAGGCAGGTGAGGGTCTGTTACAGAAGTCAAGCTAAACTCACCCTTTGCACAAGCTAAAATCACCAACTACAGCAGTGTATGGGTCACTACTGCTGGGGATCAGATTGAACTGGTGACCTTGAGAGCAAAAGCTAAGATTGGGTATTTGCAGTCTTGTGCATGCTCCTGAATTCTGGATCAGACATTCACATGGGAAAGTTACTGCTTTCTTTCAAACCACATACAACAGACAGATTTGGTAAGAAAAAGCTGACCAACATCACTTTCTTGTCCTTAATATATAATCCTGCATACAGGTACTGGGAACCAACCAGGGCATTTATGGCTCTCAGGATTAAAGGGCTCTCTGTAAGAAGACAGGGGTGAAGACACTGATTTTAAGCTGAAGTCTTGCCCTGTTGTGCGATTGCATCTTACCTCCATGTAGAGGAACACAAGCCCCACAGTGAAGTTGGACAGCCAGTGCACAGACCCACCCACCATGAACGCTGCAGGCCGGGATGACTGCAGGAACATCTCGGTGATCATCACAAAGGGAATTGGACCTGGAAGGGAGTTGCACATTTGGAAATCCCAAAGGGAACTCCCCTGCTTTGAATTCCCAGATGACACTGTTCATTTCAGTGGCAGGCAATAGATGTTAAAGTACTAGTGTTTAGAAACACCCATTACATCAAATAAGGGATGAGATTAAGAAAATACAGGGCATTTAAATGAGCTCACACACAGCAACCAACCTCTTCTCTCCCATGGCTGCACCTCAGCCATGAGCCCATCTCCAGTGTAAGTTGTAAAACAAGGTTGATGAACACAAACTGTCTCTCCAGAGAGTACCCCATGAGCAGTGACTAAGCAAGGCTTGATCTTTGGGCAAGAAACAGACTGTGTTCTCATTAACAGGTCCAGATGACCTGGTGCTCTCCCTCCAGCAATGTCCCTGCCCTCCCTGCTTCAATCTGCCTGGTGGCATAAATGGAGAAGGAAAGGTTGTGTGCAATTCCATCTGCTATAAAACCTCTACAGGAGTTTGGATGCTGCATTGCTGCAGCTGACCAGACAACTCCACCATGCTGAGAAGCTGAGTCAGGACAAAGCCTTCCCAAAATCCACATCTATCTGCACATCTCCTTTCTGCAAAGCCATCTGCAGGGCCATGGGTATAATTTGCATTGCTTCTAATTCGATGTGTTGCCCACAGATGCAAGCATGCCACATCCCTGCCCAGCTGTGGGGCTCACTAGCTCGGCATAGTTTTGCCCCAGGTTTTATTTGGGGAATATCAGACACAAGCACTGCTGTGCCTTTGCTCTTCTTGACAGCCAGATGCTCCCCTGCCTCACAGACACAGGCCGCTCCTCACTGCAACATAAATAAGCCTAGCAGACAATCCACACAGTGCATGGCCGCACAGAAGAAATTCTATCTCCACCTCCTTGGATTAGCTCCACAGAGCCTTTGGTTTGAAACTGAACGTAACACTTGGCTTTCCCCAGCTTGTGGAGGAGACAGGACCAGTGTGTGCATACTTACTGGCTCCAATAGCATGTCCCATGATGTAAACGATGACACACACTATGCTGAGGTAAGACATCCATGAGACAGTGGTCTGTGACGAAATTAATCACAGATTACATGCGGTCCCTATCTGAGCATCACCAGCACATTCAAGGCACTATTCGTAGTAAGATCTGAAGGCATTCTGAAGCCAGCATCACCCTTCATTGCCACATACATACACTCTTAACCACAAAAAAATCATAGCCTGGGTATGATCCTTGCTTCCAATAAATCAGCACAAAAGGTATTATGAACATGATGTGCTGGAAACAGTGCTCAGACAAGGAGGATCACAACTTTTCCTGGCTTTACTTTAGTTCATATTATTCCCTCCTTCCCAGGGTGTAGAAACAACTTCAACACATACCAATGGTTCCCTGAACAGTCCAGAAATGCATGGGCAACATCACCTGAGCTATCCAGCTACACACCTGGAGATTGAGAGCCATAGTTAACACTGCACAGGAGACACAGCAAAATCCAAAGCCAGCAAGGAGGAGGATTCTCCTTCCCAGGGATTCCACAATGAAAACCTGAAAGAGATAGAAGAGGGTGAGAGACCAGGCATGGGGCACAGCACTTACTGCAGCAGAACTTATAGTCTTTGTCTCTTAAGAAATTCAGTGCCATTGCCACCATCTGCTGATGGTCAGTCACTTTGGGCAACATAGCTGCCTTCAACCAAGGGCCACTCCAGGGCATCTATGGTGCCAAGCAGCTCACAGTATGTGTAAATAACATAACCCAATTTAACCCGTGACAGGCAGGGGAGACTGGGCAAGCCAGAACTTGAAAAGCCCTAACAGAAACTTACAGCAACCAAGGTCATGACGACGTTGATGGCACCTATGGACACAGTGACATACTGAACACTGTTGTCATCCACTCCTGCCGACAGGAAGATTCTGTCTGCGTAGTAGAAGACCTGCAGCAAAACCACAGCTGTGTTTACACGGGACCAAAGGCAGAACATGGGAATCCCAGGCTGGCTGCTTTTGCATCCTGGAACTCGTTCACAGGAGCCTGAGAACTGGTTCTTTCATTTCTGGACACTGCTGTTTGGATCCAGCCACAAGCACCTTACTCTAAAATGTCCAAACGATCCTTAACAGGACAGCTGGACTGTATCTAGTACATGTGTGTACTGGATTTGGGTCAGCACTGCCCCACATCACCCACTGTAAAGCCCCATTCTTCTACTACTCACCCCACTGGCTTTTCTCATGTGCCTTCCCACTCACCCCATTGACCCCTGAGAGCTGCTGGCCCATCATCATGACAATGATGGAGATGAGCTGCCATCTCAAGCCTCTGAAGGTGCACAGGCTGAATACAGTGAACTGTCCTTCTTCCTTTTCTGACTGGTCTTCTTGGCGCATCTCTTGGATCTCATCATCCACATCATCCCGGCCTCTCAGCTTCTGCAGAGCTAGTTGGGAAAGGAAAGCGAGTTATGGACCCCAGAGAGCAGGCCTGCAGCGAGCTCTCCTGCTTCAAATCAAGACAGAACACTGTTCCCACCATGGGCAGCAGTGCTTCCACGGTGGCAAGTCAGGGATTCACATATGCAGAGAAAGGAACAATGCTGCAGGAGCTCCATCCACCAGCAGCGTCAATGGAGTTTTCTACACTCGCTTCACTGCTGGTTGCTGTCAATCACGTCCCACAGATCTTCCCCCTTCCATTAAAGGATGATACTGTACCTCGCCGTGCTTGCTCTTCATTGCCCTTTTGTATCAGCAAATATCTGGGACTCTCAGGGAAAAAGGGCAATATAAGGAGCTGAATTAGCGATGGGATCCCAGTGAGCGCCAGCAGCACGGGCCAGCCTGCAACAGTGAGGCAAGGTGACAGCTATGAGACATCTTCCCCCTGTGGGGGCCACAGAAACAAGTCCCAAGCCAGGAATTTACCTTTGGCATTCCCAAGGATGATGTTGAGACCAAGGATCTGAGCTATAAGGATCCCAATGCTGATGAAGAGCTGGGGTACGATCCCAATCGCACCTCTCAGATTTCTGGGGGACATTTCTCCAAGGAACATGGGAACCACATTGGAAGCCAGACCTAGTAGAGAACAACGTTAGACATGCAGTGCCTGGCAGCAGCACACGCACTGTCTTTACTAAGATGCCTTTTTCCTACATGAGACCGAAGCAATCCCTGCTGGACCAGAGCAGGAAACCTCACGCTCAAACCCTTCTGCTCCAGCTGACTTTAGTGTCATCTTCTGGCCAGTGCATAAGCTGTGTGTGTTCTCCTCACTCTTCAGTGGAAGATGGGACAAAACACACATGGGATTGGTTCACTCAGTACATGGAGAGGTACCAAACCCATCACTGCATCTGGTACCCTCAGAAGCTCTGGCTTTGGGAGTGCAACCTGCCCACCTTCAAAGCAAAGCACTACTTGGTTCTGTGAGGCTCTAGCTTCAATGCTCAGCAGCAAAGCACTTAAAGAGCCTGAGAAGGCAGCAGTAGGCTGTGATCTGGGCAGTCTCAGTGCACATAAATATAGCTCCCAGCAGCGTCTGCCAAGCCCTTCAACACGATACGTGGAAAGAATCCTGTGTGCTGCTTCAGAGGTGCTCACACCCCCAGGATGCAAGGGAGGGATTTATACTTCCTCTAAAACAAGCAGAGAAATCAATATCCAAACTGATGTAAGGGTGGAAGGATGCGACCTCTTGCTGGCCTTTATCAATTCACTACTCCTTTGGTTGCTTGGTAACACTTCCCAGAGAGCTCTGTTGGTCTGAGATCTCTTACCAGCACCATGCTGGAAGAGGTATTTAAACTCGAATAGCACATGGGGTATTTTGAGGAACACTGCATTGTAACCCACTGTAACCCCAGCAAGCTGCCAGCTCCATGGTTACGCTGTAAATCCTGGCATGTAAACCCCAAAGTTCTGGGGTCAAATGACCACGAGACCCTCAGCTTTCATTTCTCAGCTTCCTAGCTTTCAGGAACATGGAGTTAAAAAGCTGTCATCTGGAAGCAAAAGGCTTGGGAGCAAGTATTTAAGGAACCAGAAAACCCTATACAAGTAAACTCATGAGATGCAGTGGTTTAAATTTGTATTATAAGCAGCCTTTTAGTTGCCCAGATTAAAACATGCCAGCAGCATGGACTACTGCAGTCAAGCAACAGCATGTTTCTTACTGCTCAGACCAATGCTGATCAAGGCCTGCCAAGAGGGGCCCTGCGTACAGCAGTGCTGCCAGCACCACAGCCACCCTTTACCAGGCAGGGCTGCACTTGGATCCTACCAGAGCTCCAAGCCCCTGTGTCCAACCTGGCCTTGAACACTGCCAGGGATGGGGCAGCCACAGCTTCTCTGGGCACCCTGTGCCAGCGCCTCAGCACCCTCACAGGGAAGAGCTTCTGCCTAAGAGCTCATCTCAGTCTCCCCTCTGGCAGGTTAAAGTCAGTTATAAATGGCTGGGAAGAGGGGTCACCCTTGACAGGTCCTTTAGTGTTTATGCAGAGATCCCATGCTAAGAGCAGCTGCCAGGCTTAGGAGAGTCAAAAGCCAAACCAAAACCACTGGAGGAGATGAATTTCCTGCCGTAGCTCACCAATTTCAACTGCTGTGTGTTACAGGTCAAGCTGTTTTCTTATCCCAGTTTCTTGTTTTCTTCTTTTATCTTTACAGGATATCCCAACTCAGTAACAAATGATGGGGAACATCAGTCTAACCAGCCCAAAGCCAATGAACTAAGTCTAAATGCTGTTATAGGACCCTTACCAACGTGGTTTTGCTCTGCTTGGTATAGTGCTGCCCACCCCTTCTGTGTTTGCTTGTTCCCTATTACTGTAGCTGTAATACAGCCACTCACACCAGTAACACACACACCCCCCCCCCTTTAATGCTTCTTTCCTCCTGCAGGAAGAACAGTCTGTTCCAGCACTGGATCATTGGGTCTGGCATCATCTCCAGTGACTCTGACTTGGAAAGATTATTCTGTTTCTAATTATATTAAAGAGAAAAAAAGACAAGGGGGGGGTGTGCACAGAAAAGGCAAGCAAGGCCTTAAAATGGCTTGTAAGATTATCAGGAGCAGCAGAAGGTTTCCTGGCTGTTGGAGCTCCAGTGCCTAGCAGGTGCTCATTGCAGAGGATAGCTGCATCTCAGACACATATCTCCTCTGTACATCTCACATTCCAGCCTCTCTGCTCTTGCCTGCTGTAGATCTTTACTACTCCTGCAACGTGCAGATGACAGCTGTGATTCAGGAACAGCACTGATATGCAGATATATGGCTAAAACCTGTCAAACCACCCTTTGTGACAGTAAAAGACCTTTACATAGCCAAGAATGTATTTGTTGGTCTCCCTTCACCATCCACTTACCAGCAAATATTCCCATGATAACACGTGAAAAGATGATCACTTCATAGGTTTTTGCTAGCTCTGAAGTTCCCATTAGGATTGCAGCAGAAATAGATAAGAGGTTACTTATCAGCAAAGTGCCCTTTCTGTGAGGTAATAGAAAAGGAGACAGATTCAGTTGATTTTCTGTCTAAGGCCTCAGCAGCAGAGAGATCCCCTCTGTGCCACAGTGTCCAAAACTCAAAAGAATCACCATCCCAAGGACTACTCACAGGGAAAACGGCTGCTGTCCCATTTTCCCTGCAGGGAACGAAGGCTTCGAGATGATCTTAAAGGTCTTTCCCAACCCAGCTGATTCTGTGATTCTCAGGAAACCCAAGCAGCAGAAGCTGGGCCTGTTCTCAGACTTTCCTCTTTGCTCTTTCCCTGGCTCAGTGCCCAATATATGGCCTTGACCACATTGAAACCATGTAAGATCTTCTACACATGGGAGACAACACGTGCTGCTGAGCCCAGTGGCTGATCACCAGCCTATCTGCCTTACAACCAACGTGCATGACGCTGTCATGCTCCTGGATGGGCTTGGCAAGCCTTATCTGAGCCCAGAAACTGCTGCTCAAGGACCTTAAACACCATGGTCACGTACCGGCCGCAGTTGTTGACCAGAGGCCACACCATGAGGGACCCAAAAAAGCCACCCAGGGGGTACATGGACACAGTAAGAGACCAGAGCAGCGTCTGGAAGCCACTCTCCATAGGCACTCCACTCCTGTTGTAGTACGTTTGGTTGTAGAAGTCTTGCATGTACTGGAATAAAAGATGCACGTTTAGCACAGTGAGTAAAGCTTCCATGCTCCAAAAGCTAGTCATGTCATAAAGCTTTAAACAAGCATTGAAGAAATGAATGCAAGAGATGGGGATGGAGAAGCCTGGAGTAAGTAACTGCTAGTACGAGTTATCCTGCCTTATGGGATCTGCCTGCTATCCCAAAGGGAAAGCATTTCTCACGCCCAGTCTCTCCTAGGCACAAAGTCCAAACTGGGGCACCATACACCTTAACACCCCCTTCCTTTCCAGGGGAACCACTTCCCAGCTCCAAAGCACGGAGAACTCCAAGCACCTGCCCACAAACACCCATAACCCACTGGTACCCTTCTGCCTTGTTTTGCTTGTAAACCTCCTCCCGGGTCATCGTCCACTCCATAGTCCAACCTACCGGGGCTGGAGAATTGATCACAGACACGTTGTACCCATACTGGAAAGAAGATCCAAAGGCAGATATCAGCGTTACCGTTGCAAGCACAAGTGTCATTTTCTGCAGGGAGGAGAGAAAACAAACCCCACCTCAGCAGCAGGTTTGGACTGGGGCATATGGCAGTCAGTAAAAACAAATACCCTAAGACTTGCTTTTCACTTCATGTTATTCTATAGACAAAGCCCAATGGGTTGTTCTCATTAAAACTCTGTTCTGCTTGATTTGCACATAGTCATTACAGTAATTGATTCTGCCCTTTCCTGGTATTGATAGAACACTTGGATGATGAATAATTGTCAAGTTACCATGCTTAGAATACCCTCCCTGCAGGGAAAAAGGTTGTGTGCAATTATCCTTTCCCCAACGTGCAATTGGATAGTGAAATAACACAGGATATTGGCACAGGGAAGCTTTAAGAAGAAGAGGTTTTGGATGAAGTGACAAAATCCCTTTCCTGCTCATTTGTTCTGCCTCCCACATTTCAGGATCAAGCTCTTTACGGCTCTAATCCGATTGCCACTGAAGCCAATTAGAACTTATCCAAGTAGCTCAGCCAGGGCTTGGCTGTGGGGTATAAGAGCAGCTCTTTGCAGTTAAGCAGAAGGGTGAAATTGCCACTTGGAGTAGGACCAAGCACTGGCCATGTCTGTGGGTGCAGACCTCAGGGTTACGAGCAACTCGCTTTTCGCAATGCTTCCATTGCTATTTAGTCCTCAGCCTGCCCACCCTGTGTTGGCTGAGCTGGGCTGGGGTTTTTAGTAGCTCACTAATAGCTCCCATTGCTGCTACATCAATAAAGTCATTTTTCATTCAGAAGTATTGCTTCTGTCACCACCATTAGCCTTCATGTCTGCAAGGCTTTATTTATGTCTCAACACCCAAGTCAGGTCCCACACGCAGGAGCTGTCATTTCCCTAATGGAACGTATTGTCCAAGGAGCTGCTGGTAGCCCTTAGATTCCCTGTATTCCTCAGCAGCTCACCTCCAGAGACCTGCAGAGTTTAAAGCACTACAGAAGATCAATCCCAGCTGATCTCAGAGTAACGCTCAGGAGGAAGCTGAGGCTTCCAGCTCCTTTTTCTCGTAGACTGCTGCCACTGTGGCCCTGGTGATGAAAAGCACGCTGCCTTCCCCTCATCCAACCAACCCCAGGAGCTCCAAAGAGCCGCTGCCGTTAACTGCTCACATTCAGCACCCTTAGGAAAACCTCTGGCACACGCGAGCATTGCATTGAGCAAGAGTCCGCAGAAATGCTGCTGCGAAAGGCAGCCCCCATCCGGAAGCATCCGCAGCCTAAAACTGATGGGGAAGGAGGGCAGAAACCCCGCACGCAGAAGGGGAAAGTCACACAGAAGGTCCACGGCAAGGCAGAGAACCTCGAGGCAGATAAACGGGGCTCAAGAGCAAACACCCCGTGCCCTCCCTGTGAGCTCCGCGTGGACGTGGCAGCCCGACGGCTCCCGGTGGTCTCCTGCCTGCAGAGCTCGCCCTGTGCCGCGGTGGGAGGCTCAGGCGGAGGACCAGAGCCCTGCGCACTTACCCCCCGGGAGCCTTCATTGCTGGCAGAGCTCTGCTCCTCTCCTTTCAACTTCATTTTGGGGTCTGAGCAGCGGGCACCGAGCCCAGGCTTTTATAGCCCAAACAGAGCAGGAAGAGGAGAGGAACGCCCTGCGCAGACAATCCCCCTCTGGCCTCGCAGATAACCTCCAATCAAAGGCAGGCTCTAGCCGTTGAAGCGAGCTGTTGCTCTTCTCCGACCATTCTCTTCCTCTGCGTGACTGCCTTGTGACTTCTCTTTCTTTCTCCTCGGTCGAGCCCGTCGCCGTTGGGTCAGATACTCCGCTGCCAGACCCCGGCTCCAAGCAGATATCCCGCCCGGCTGCAGCGAAACAGGCTCCTCTGCCCCACAGGAGGGGCAGACCTATTGCAAAAGCGGCTGAACGAGCTGTTTCCTGCAGCTATATATACACAGATAAGTGCGGCGCAACAGAGCTGCTGCAGCTGTGCAGGGCTGCCTGGCAATCCTTGCGACGTGGAAAATGGGGCGTTCTGCGGGGCCCCTGGCAACAGAGAGGATGTTTGCCGTGGGCCACAGCATCAGCCTGTGTTAACCCTTCTGCAGCCTTCAACTGCCCGTCTGCCCTTGGGCCGGAATACTCCTTATTGTCCTGCCTTGCCCAGACCAGCTTGCTCAGGGCACTTTTGCAAGGCACAGCGAACAGGTTCTTCCCCTCAGGTTTGTTTTTGACAGCGCACAGAACACAGCTTTCCCACCAAAGCACATTAGCTCCTTTCCCTCTCACGCCAGGTACGCCACGTGTTGCTGGCTTAGTATTAACCCCCTGCACTGTGCGAGTACTTTGAACAGCACAGAACCTGGTTAATAATCGACTAAGGTTTCCAGAGTGTATCAGAGAAATGCAAAGTTCACAGATACCTCCAGCAGCTGGAGAGACTGGAGCCAAACCTCGCTATTATTGGCCCATCTATCTTTAGCAGCCAGTTGTTCATGTGCCTTGCATGCATTCTTTGACTGGCTGCAGCCTCCTTTCCTCCAGGTGAAAGCATCCTGTGCTAAAAATAGGAAGGGGAACAGAGCCCTGGTGCTTTCAGGGCAGTGGAACCGAGCCCTTAGGTTTGTTGTCATCTGGGTTTTATTGTATTTGACTACTATTGCACTTTGTTATCCTCAAGGACAACGTTTGCTGGGATATCTTGACAGCAGATCACACCTCAAGAACACTCCTGAGTCTTTCAGGAACTGCTCCTGCTGCTCAGTTCCCATTACCACATGGTGCCTTAGCTAAACAGAACTGAACATGCATTTCACCCATAGCTCATCCTCCTCTGCATTCCCACTGGGAGGATGGAGCTAGCTGGCACTAACCAAGATGCTCCAAGCTCAGCTTTTCCCATGCTGCCTTCAAACACTGCTCAAAGCACCCCACACCAAATGGGACAGGCCATAGCTCACTCAGTAACAGGTTTAGCTCTCACTTTCACAGCTCTTTGGCCAGAAAAGGGAAAATGGAAAGCAAGGGGTGGGGACATTGAGAGCAGGACCAATTCCTTACATGGAAAAGACAGCATCATTCCCATGGGAGTTCTTGGCAGAACGACCACAGTAATTACTGAGTATCAGCCACTGTAATACTCTGTAATTACAAGGAAGGGGAACTCACTATCATGTCTTTAAACCCTTTTCTTGACCTTGAAGGGATAATCTTGACACATAGAGAAATGGAACAGGACATGGGTGCTTGCCATCAGAAATCCTTCACCAGAGTAAATATTTGCTTATGGTGGCGGAATGGCTTAAATGCTTGCCTGCCACAGGAAGAACCTGGTAACACCACCCAGAAGGTAGCAATCGGCACTGGGTGATCTTGGAAGGGATGAATGAAGGGAGGCAGGATGGGGAATGAGCTGCCCCTTACACTGTCAAAGCAATTGCAGGAACAGAAATCCTTCAAGAGCTGAGATCCTGCTGGACCTGGGCAAAGAACAGAGCCAGTAACAGAAGAGCCAATGCTACAGGTATTGTCCAAGCACATTTTCAACTCCAGCACATATTAAGCTTCTTACATCTGCTCTTCACCTCAGAGTGCATTTACCTTAAGACACTAACTCCGGTCTGTATCTTCTCTGCTTTGCGCTTATTCAGCGCATAGTAAGGGCTCCCATGCACGTGTGCAGGGAACTGTTTAGACTCAGCCCAGTTGTCTGCGCTCAAGGCTGGATCCTATGAAACCCTGACTCTTTGGCAAGAACAGTTAAGAGATGATTCCTGGTTTCCAGGACACTGAATCTGCTGGAGAACATCAGCAGTGAGCTATAGAAAAGTGATGGCTAGAGGGGAGCTGGACATGCTGCAGCGTGCTGGTCGCAGTCCTTCTGATAAGGAGACTTATTAGGACACATGCCACAGTACGTGGTCAAGAGAGTGCCATTAGCAGCCCTTTCACCTGCATTTTGGGCAGGAATTGCATCTTCAGTCAAGGCTAATTCAAAACCCATGTGCAGGGCTGAGCTACAACTGGGGCCTCAAGAGAGAGTTTAAGCTACAGGTTATTTGCCTACGAATAGGGCAGCTACAGATACCCCTTTATCAGCTGCATAAAAGGCTCCCAAGCTAAACAAGCCAGAGGTGGATAAGGCAGCCTGTTCCCCCTGCAATAGGAAAGGGGATTGCTGGATAAATAAGCACACGCTGCATGTAAACAGTAGCAAACATGAGGCTCTGGAACTAAGTAGTAAATGGGACCCTATTTTCACTGCACAAGGACAGCGCTAGGTAGTGTTCTGCCAACCTCCTTCCTTTCCACTGCTGCCCTCTTTGACCACCTCAGGCACCCAGACCCATCCCCAGAATAAACCCCAAAGGATCAGACAGATCTGTACACTTACCCTGCCACGAGCTGATGAGTTGGTTTGGGAACTGGGGGCCTTTCTCTTTAGGCAGGGTTGTGTGACCCACGAGACGTTTGGGGAAGGGTTGGGATGCTTGGATATTAAATCTCCATGTGCACCTTCTTCAACAGGAGCACCTGACCGTCAAAACACCCACCCTTGCTGGGTTCATTTTCCTATGCAGGATGGGAACACTGGCTGTGCCAGCCAAGACCTGCCTTTAGCCAGCTCTTGCCACTCTGCACTGATTCCTGTGGTTCCCTCCGGGGTTATGCATACAAGATACTTGGAATTCAGTGGAGCACAGCGGACACTGTCACTGCCTTGGAGTAGCAGGAGTCACTTGTATTATGCAACCCTAAATACAAACATTAGGTTTGGCAGCATTAGAGTACTCTGTGTAACTGCTCTTCATGATGGGAAGAGATTATCCTAGTGGCACAACGAGACAGCACCTTCCTAAGATGTTCTCCTCTTTACCAACAAGATCTCATCTTTCCTTACAAACACATGGTTCATTAAACACAGCTTCGAGGTTTTAAAGTAAAATCAGCGTTGCCCAAATCCTCCCATACTGCAGAGCCTTGTTCACTCCCAGAGCCCCAGGAAGCATCCGGCACAGACTCGGTTCTTGGGAAGAACCATCTTGGTTCACTCCTAGCACTCCAGGAACCACGTGGCACAATCCAGACTCAGTTCGTGGGCAGAAGGGAAGAAAAGGAGAGCAGGATTTTGCAATGAATCAGTATCAACAGTACTGATAAGTAGTATAATACTACCGATAGCATGTATCGGGGAGGGCTGAACTCACCCCCTCCTAACCAGCTCGTGCCTGGGGAGTGAACAAGGGAATGCATGCACAGCTTTCCTTGCTTTCGGAAGATAACTTGGACTAAGAAGAAATATACATATAAAAGACAGGAAGAGAAAGAGATCTACAAACAGGTGGAAGATATTTGCCTTCCTTAGTCCTTAAGGTAGACATAAAAGAAACCTGAAGGAAGATCTTGCAACAGCTTCTCATCCAACTTGCCCAAGGTGCTGAGACCCATCACAACGTGCCTGAACAACGGCTTGGTAAAGAAACACAACTTTATTTTGTAGAAGTTGGAGAAAATCCTTAAAACCCAAGCCAGTGAGGAGCTGTAAATAAGGTCAAACGCTATCTCCAAACAGCAACCAGATCCCCATCCCTCCCCAGCTCCGATCCATCACTCCCAAAGCAACAACAGACTGAAGCACAGGCACCAGGCACCATCCAGCCACTGGTGACGGCCGCCCTTGCTGGAGGCTGGGGTGTACATGCACGTATCCCTGAGCACCAAGGGGAGCTGCAGAGCTCAGATCTCCTCTGGAGGCAGTAACCAACCACGCTGCCACCATAAACCCTGAGGATGACAACCCCTGTTCACCAAGGAGGAGGAATAAACCATCGAGAGGAGCTACCCATCACCACCACAGCACAGACACGTTTGCACGCTGTTGTCCACAGTCAAGTGAGGGACAGGAGCCAGGCTGGAGCTCCCTGGAAGACCTCATGGATTAGGAGTGAAATCCATGCCCAGAACAGCTACTTGGTTGTCCTGCCACCGTGCTATTGTTCACCCCGCAGCTCACGGCACATTTGCCTTGTCAGACAGAAAAGCAAAACCCCGAACAAACGTAACATTTATGGTGGAGGAGGGAATGGAACCAGGAAGCCGGAGCCAAGCGGTGTCTTCCAGGGGACCCTGAGCAAAGTTCAAGACCAAAGCAGCCGGTGTCCAGTGCCGAGGAGGAGCAGGACCTCTTCCCTTTGCTCAGCCACTCCAGCCGTGCTTCTCCCCAGGCTTGAGCTCCCTCTGTGGGACTCTGGGATGATCCCGCACCTGCCCAGAAGGAAGCACAGTTAAAGTCCATCATTTAGCTCAAGCAACAGCTAGGAACAGGCAGGATGGGCCCCTTCCTAAACCACAGCCGGGTACTCCAACCTCAGCCTTGTTTTCCTTTCTTTTGGGGCATGTGTGTGCCTATGTGTGGTACTTTGCTTTGATCTCCCTTAGGTTGGTGACAATTTCACTTCCTCTCTTCAGGGCTGGCTCCAAAGCACTGAACGCAGCACAGCTCTGAGCCTCACAGAAGTCAAGGTTTATGAGCCTGCAAGTTTCAAACACAGCTCCTCTTTCCAAGCCACAGGAGATGAACCCGAGGCCAAGCTCCCAAGGTCGCTGCTCAGCATTTAGAGGTTTAAAGCAGCCTTTTGAAAGGAAGAAGAAACCTTCCTGAAGCCATCTATGCCAGATATAAGGTGCTTGCATCTGTCCTTGCTAGAGTCCAGGGATGATGAGGAGTGGAGCCCCTTTACAGCCCCATGAAGTGGGCCAATGAGCTTTTGAGGACTCCACCTTCCCATGTTCACACAGTGTGCAAGGGGCTTAACGTATTTAAGATAATAATAGGTTAATGCCAAGCCTTCAATGCAGGAAATAACAGGACTCACTTCTGCCTATAGTGCCATGGATGGCTGTATCGTTCAACTGCCCTGATGCTGTTAG